AGAGACTTACGTTTTAGACACCATATTGGCTGTTTTTGCGCTATTTCTGTGCTATTTCGCCAACAAAAAACATTCCAAACACAGCCACAGTGCTGTTTTGCGTCTCTGAGCAACATGACGGTGTTTCGTTCCTGAATGAATCACCTGTTTAAATGATTCGGTTCAATCTCAATGACTCACTTAACAGTGACTTGCTGCCACCTACTGGTGGTTTTAATTTAACATTTAAGGTACCTTTTCATTTTTTTTTATAATTTCAAACATCAGTTTTCAATGTTTTATGTTTGAAATATCAAAACATTATTTAGCTATGCATTTGTAACTGCAGGTTAAAGTATTCCATGTTCCTCTGCATTGCAAAGATAGATTTAGTTGATACTGATTTAATTTGCTTGGTAACAGCCCAAATGCTAGAATTTGACTCAAAAGATGGTGCACACTTTTAGAAAAAATGGCTTAAAGGTAAAAATGCCCATAAAACTTGTTGGAAATTATTCATTTCTATTACTGCTGTGAACTGACCACACAGAATATGAAGAATATCAAAAAATTCAGGATTCAGCTGTCCACAGTAGTCCTTAAGATCAGCACAATAACACACTCAGCAAAATATCATCCAATTATCGTTATCGATAAAATCCCAGAAAAATATCGAGATATCATTTTTTGACAGTATCGCACACCCCAAATTTATGTTAATTGATATAATAATTTATTGGTAATAATTGTTTAAATTAATATAATAATTAATACTTTTGACTCATCCATTTTCTTAACAATGGTTTAAAGGCTGAAATGTAAAGTTTATAATTTTATAAAACTTTGTTTTTGTGAAAACTTGTATCTGAACTGTAAATTATTTAATTAAAAGTAATTTTACAGTTTAATATGGTACTATAGACATTGCCCTACCCCGCTCATATGGTATTAATTTTATTTGTGCAGGTCTTAAAAAAGTTCTTAAAAAGTCTTAAATTTGAGCTTAAAAATCCTGCAGAAACCCTGCTAGCCAAAAAATAAATAAATAAATACATAAATAAAAAAGGAGATTTCTTGTTTCGTCATGTTGAAACGTCAAAAGTGAAAATTGCTTAAAAATACACTGAATAAAATGTTTTGTCAGATAGGTTTGGTTAAAGGGAGAAAACAAAAAAACAATGACTGTAGGTCAAAACATCTATCTAGTCAACAACAATTAAAATGCGGCAAAGTGGAACTAAAAAAATACAGCTCATTACATTTTTTTGCATTTTAAAAAAATTAAAAAGTAGAGGTTTTTTTCTTGAGAAATGTAATAAAGTAAAAGTACAAGTAGTCAGTTTAAATTTTACTTGAATAAAGTACAAATACCCCAAAATAATACTTAAGTACAGTAATCAAGTAAAATTTGATTTGATGACAATTCATCAGTACACATTCATGTTTCATCGCAATGTAATAATTGTAATAATTTACTTTTCGTTTTTGGCTGATGTCATCATACCTGTCATATAGACACACTTTTCACTAAATAAGAGAACGAAAACCGTAACACAATGTTTGATGTCTACAGGCACATGAAGGAGATCTCCGAGCTTCAGGCTCACCAGAGAGCAGAGATCGAGCAGTTGTATTCTCGGTTAGGTCGACCGGTTCCTCCCAGCATGGGCTTCTTGCATGCAGTGCCGCCTACCGGCCGCCGCCGCAGAGCCTCCAAACACAAGCTGAAGGGAAGCCGACTGCTCAATCCCATGGTGCAACAGCTTAGAAACAACCGAAGCAACAGCTCTAGTATGTATGCGAGAGTTTGTGTGAGCCGGGGTGCCAGCTTTAAAATCACAGAAGGGGTGGTACCACTATATTTTGGACCCCCGAGGAACATGGCCAACAGAATGCTATCTGGCTTCTGTTAAATTAAGTACATTTGAAATGTAACTAGTATCTAAAGAAAATGTAGATGTTTGGTCTGCAAAACTTGGCACCACAGTGCACATTTTATTGTCCATTTGATTGCTTAAAGTAATAGTACAGCTTTCCCCAACAAGACACATGATTTGAGGAATTGTTCATGCCTGAAGAACCAACGGTGCAGAGCGTGGTTCATGTCCAAGTTTAACTTTTAAGATTAGTGATTTTTTTTCCAACTGCCTCACTTTAGGTATGAGTGTGTGTGTGTGTGTGTGTGTGTGTGTGTGTG